ACTGGCCGGCGTCCGTAAGGAAGAGGGAGAGAGAGGGAGTTGGATGGTTGTGTGTTAATGGTGTTGGGGTGTTACAAAATGGTGAAGGGATGAAGAAGAGAGGGTTGTATATAATGGTGGTGGTATAATGAGTATTAATGGAGAATTAAAAATGGAAGAATGAATAAGGATGAATGGCGTGTGGAATGGTTTTGGGAGTTACAAATATTTATTTACTCCGTTATATTAAAATCTGACCAAAACGGTACGCGCTTTCCCCCCTAAACGGGTCCGAATTGAGATCCGTTTGTGTTTCCGGAATCAGACAGTCAAAAGGAATTTAATGACATGTTCAAATAATTTTTCTAAGAACTTTATTTTCAGACTTCCGGGTCCACCCCAATCATTAATTAATTTATTTAATTAATGTTGAGAGGTCCGTTATTAAAACATCTTTTTATATTAAAATACATAAGCTTTGGAAAGCCATTTAAAGAAGTCGAAATCTCAATATTTATTAATTTCAAAATAATGAGTCTCAATAAATAAATAATATTTATTTATTTAAAACTAGGCCGGTTTAATGTAATACCCCGTATCAAGATGGGAATGGGAAAAGCTCAAAAAGGATTGATAGTACTACTCATACCAACAAGGTGCATCTTCTTTTCGAGAGCTCATCACCTAGAAACTCCAAGGTTAAGCGTGCTTGACCTGGAGCAATTCTAGGATGGGTGACCCCTGGGAAGTTTTCCTTGGGCGCGCACGAGTGAGGACAAAGTGCGCGGGAAAGACGTGTGTTGGTTTGTGGGCCAGTCTACAATCCTATGAGCAGACACTTACGGCTAGGGTGGGGCCGGGGTGTTACATTTGTTGCCTTCACCGCCACCTAATTTCAGCGCCATCGCCTCCGCCCCCACCCCTCTCAGATTCATTGTGCCACTGCACCCTTGTCAAATCTACCCCTCTCAGATTTCAAGAATGACCGCTTCTCTCTTCATCTTTAATTGAATTTTATTTTTTTTTTTTTTGAATTTCGTTTGGGGTGCTTTGGGATGAAAATTTGATATCAAGAAAACGAGGTCTACCACCATCTGGGGCGGTTGGTCATCCAGCTGCCATAAAGGTAGATTTGAGAGGGGTGATGGTTGCCAACAGTTGTACATGGCAATATGGGTAAGATTTGGCATTATGCCTTTGTGACACTGTGTATTTGCATTTGTGACACTACATATTGGCATTTGTGGCATTATGCATTGTTAGTTGTAACATTATATGGTGTCATGTTTGACATTATATGTCTTTTTTGACACTGTATGAAAACTAATGTGGCATTATAAAGTTGATGGTGCATATTAGGGGGGTGGTGTTGGCAATAGAGAGCGGTACTGTTCTTCTACCTTAATAATTGGAATATCATTTATTTCATCAATAATTAAATAATAAATACTGTAATACATTAAAATGATGGTATAAATAAATTAAATCTTGGCGTTATCAGTACCGTAAATTAGTTCATATTCCATCATCAGAAGGTACAAAAAATGAATCAAATAAGGTGAGCAAAGAAAATCTCAAGTTATTGTAAAGAGACTGTGAGAAAAACAAGAGAAAAGGGTACGAAGTATCTTGTAAGGGAGTCCTTTGTAGAATCAGGAAGTGGTAGTGAGTACGACAAGTTTGTTGCACATTTCACTCTAGTTTATTTGTTTACATTCGGGCATCAGAAAGGACTAAGGAGATCAGGAGAAAGGAGGTCACATTGTTGTGTGAGAAGGTGAGTTAGCAACCCCTATTTTGGAGATTTTATCTTTCTACTCTTATTTTGACATGTAGTCAATGTTTTAGACTTATTGTAGTACTTTCCCCTTTCTTCCATTTTATAACAAAATACTAAAATTTTCAATTCAATTATTTTGGAAAAAAAAAAAAAGAGAGTTTCAAACACTAAAAAATAAACCTCTTAAAAGTATGCAATTTGCATCAATTTGGTGATTTCGTCCATGGTTCTCAGAAGTGAAATGGATGGCAAAGAGCAGCAACCGTGCGGAGTGGACGCCGGCGGGGAGAAGAAGAGCTTCGTGATAAAGGTTCCTTCGTATCAGGATGTACTTGCGGCTTCACAGTCGGAAAAGGCGCCGCCTTCTCTCTTCAATCCGACTAGTTCCTTCTCACGCGCCTTCAATTTCGTCAAGGACTCGGAGTTCTACTCTCAGCCGCCTCCGCCGCCGCCTCCGCCGCCGCCTCCGCCGCCGCCTCCCACTTCATCATCTGCTCCGAGGTCAGTGTTTAAAGCGCCACAGTATTTTACATTCATGGCCAAATTTATATTCATTGCGGTAATGAAACGATTGTATTTGTATTTGCAAACAAAGTGAGGCTAAATGATGTTTTCTTAGGCCAACTATTGAATCAGAAGGCCCCTCTTCATCAGCTATAAAACCAACACCATCATCCGCGGCTGCTCCACCCTCTAGAAATGCTATACTCGTAAGCCATAGGCAGGTAAGGCTTTAATAAGAGGAGTTTGTTAGAATCCTTTCGTGCCTACGGAATTAATTGTACATCTATGAAACAAATTTTTGGGGATTATGAAATTATCAAAGTTGTCTTTTGAACATTCTTGTCATTGACAAACAAGCTAATCTAGAAGAGTGTTTTTTTACAGTGTTTGTTTAAATTTTAGACATTTTTTTTTTAAAATGGGAACAACTAAACTCAGATGGATAGAGTACATGATATAGCATTTAGAAGAAACTAATGGAATCACAGATCATGGCAGTTCCCATGGCCTTCCTCTCTCGTGCCTTAGCTACCTGAAAAAGCCTCTTATCAACTCCCTGCTCCTCTATATCCTTATAAGGGCGTTCAAAACCTGCATTAACCTCTAACTTAGCTTCCTTACAGGCAATCTTATACCGCATTCTAAGTGCTGCCCTATCATCCTCATCAATAGACCATGTACCTCTTATACGCCACCTTCTTAGCTTCCACCGACTGCGAACCACATTACTCCACCACCCGTCACCTCTAAGCCGACTTTTAGTACTGCTGCTTGGGTCACAGGAAAGAGTGATTGTTTTTATCTTACAATAATTGAACTTAAAATACACAAGAAAATGTTTTTTTCATAACACTGTCCGGATGTGCTTTGTAGTAGTAAACCGCACATCTGCTATATGGACATCAATGACTTATATAGATGTAATTATCCATTTTGATTTATAAAAATAAATGAAAATCACTAAGTTGGATTGCACTTGTTTTATATTCCCTACTTGCTGACTTTTGCCAACTTTTTGTGTAATTTACACTAAATGTTGCAAAAAATAAACCAAGTGGGACATGAAATATTAGTTTCTCACTTTATCAACAGTTTCTATTTTCGTGATCCTGCAGAAGGGAAACCCTGTGCTTAAACATATACGGAATGTTAGATGGGCTTTTGCAGATATCGTTTTTGACTATCTACTGGGACAGAATGCTTGTGCCCTATATCTTAGGTTGGAGCAGGAGCTGACAAGTGCCAACTATTTCATTTGTTTACCATTTACCAATTCACCATATTTCCATACCAGTACAGTTAGAGTTTTAGTTGTATAAAAATGACGTTTAGCTATCAAAATTGGCATTTCTATATGGCCATATGCATAGAATAGTTCAATTGAAGTTGCATGTTAAATGAGCTGGTATAATCAAGCTTTTTTTATACATATGCTTCAAGCTCCTGTTTAAATGATTTGATAGCCATGTTCTCTCCTTCATGTAGTCTTCGATATCATCTGCTTCATCCAGACTATTTGTATTTTCGGATAAGAGAGTTGCAGAAGAATTTCAGGCTTCGTGTTGTTTTGTGTCATGTTGATGTTGTAAGTTTTAACCTCTATTTTCAAATTTGACCTTTTCATGGTTTTTCTTTCAAACTGTATATGGCTGGCTATCAACATTTGATGCTCACTTTTGCCTTTGGTGCCAGGAAGATGTTGTTAAGCCTTTACTTGAAGTTACGAGGACTGCATTACTCCATGATTGCACTCTGTTATGTGCTTGGAGGTGCCCTTTAGAGCCAACTGATACCTATACTCATCCTTGAAGTTTTTTGCATTTGTTGCTCTACTACTTCTTCAGTATTTAGGAAATGCTTTTTTGTCATAACTTGCTAGTGTTATCTGTTTTTTTTAAATCCATTACCAATGGAGCTATATGAATCATTTGTGACAATGCTTTAGCTCTGGATAAATAATGGACACAATCAATTTTATCAAAATGGCAAATTAGACTTCCCTTGCTCATTATATTCTATGAAGTTCTGGGAAGTAATTGCAGCAATGTGTCAAGGGTCACATGGAAAGAACCTTTCAGTTTTTACAGTCGTATTGTCTACATCTTGATTCACCAGACGCCAACAGAGTTGGGATTATACTGGGTTTTCGTTGATGTTGTTGCTTTTTCTTGTTTTTGTCGTCCTCGTCATCTGGTTTTAAAGTGTGAAAACAGAAAATTTTCAGGCTGTCAGTTTCTTGAATATCTAAGGTGAATGGAGTTTCCATATTTGGATACTGAGAATGTTCAATTATTTCATTCAATTAGTGCTGAGGAATGTGCACGCTACTTAGAGACAGTAAAAGTGTATGAAAACAAGCCTGCTGATTTAATTCAAGGCCAAATGGATACAGACTATCTATCTCGGGTATGTGTGGCATTGATCTTTTCTCTATGGGAATCTTTTAGAGAAAAAAAACATTTCCTAATCTGAACTTCAATGTCCAGAAATTGTGCAGGACTTTGTAGTTAATGAAAGGGGTAATGCATTTCGTACTGGGCAGGTCTCTTTGAGACAAAAACAGATTTTGCTCAAAGGAAATACATTTGAACTTCAGTCTAATAAATTATTAGTACTACAAATAATATTGATTACTTTCAGAAATAAAAGTAATTCTTGTTTAAAGTATATTGCCTTTTCAGAAAGAAAAAAACAGTCGGTTTCACACAAGTTTTGTGTTTTTTATTTATTACAGCTGAATCATGCTCTCTCATCAATTCGGCATGTCAACAAAACAGATGTTGTCACCCTTGGATCTACGTTTGGGGTATGTTTATCATTTATGCATTTCTGTTCACATATTTCTGAAAGTATTAGTTGCAATGCCAACCGTTTCTTCATTTGCAGTCTCTCTCTCACATCATGGACGCATCCATGGAAGATCTTGCTCGTTGTCCTGGTATAGGAGATCGCAAGGTTTCTTTCTTTCCCACCTTTTTTTTGTTTTTTCCCTGGAAAATGAATGTTTTTGTAAGTTGTAACTTATTTCTTGAAACGGGTCAAGTGGATAATTTATATCAATATCATATAAGCCATTGCCTGTTCAAAATTTTGAGCATGATTTTCTACTTTAACTTGTTTTGTTGTCAGAATATATAATTTGAGAATAGTTGGATACTCCGAGTTTTGATTGTGAAAAATTAATTCACAATGCAAAACAACAAGCCATATTTCAAGTTTGTTTGCTTGATAAGAATTTAAAAAACTTTAAGATGGAGCTTGATTTCGGTAAGAAGTGTGACTCATTTTTTCCACATTGACAATTTATAATGTGCAGGTGAAACGACTATACGACACTTTCCATGAGCCTTTCCAGCGCGAAGGGTCTAAGCATGTAGTCCCTAAAGCTTCTGCTAATGAAAATATTGGGCCAAGTTCAGTCACTGAAATGGAGGAAAACAAGACAGAAGAAGTAGATGCAAAAAAGCACCGGGATAAAGAAGAACCCGACATAACGATCAAGTCGGCGCTCTCAGCTGCTTTCGCCAAATACTCTCATAAAGTTGGTAGAAATTCGAATAAATCACAATAGGAAGAAGCTCAAGGGGTAAAACAAGAGCAATATCTAACCAAACAGCAAGGAGAATTGTGAACAAGCAAATTGTGGTTGGTCAAGAAATTGAGAGAGAACCAACCGTTTCAAGAAAGCGGAAGTCGAGATTGGTGCGATGGAACAAACGGTTCCACGAGGACTTTATACATTTTGTGATTTAGCCATATAGGCGAGAGTAAATTCCATAAATGACCCCTTATAACACGTGGTTTTCCATATTTAGTCCTCAATTCTAAATTATTGCATTCGTGGTTCTCAATTTTCAAAAACTATTACACAAGTCCTTTGGAGTCTGTGGGAAAAAATATTTGGTCATATTTGGCCATATTTGGCCTTAAGGACTAATCATGAAAAAATTGAGTATCATAAATGTACTGTAATTAGAATTGGGAACTAAATATCAAAAACACCTGTTATAAAGAATCATTTATGAAATTTACTGTTTAGGTGATGATCTTTTTGGTATGAGCAATGCTACGTTCACAAACAAAATTGTAACAAATTTCATAAACTTACCATTTCAAATGTAAATTCTCATTTTAACATTATTTTAGGCTACATTTTTTTATTGAAGTTTACAAATAGTAATTTTGTAAATTTGTGATGGTTTTGTTTGTGAATCAAGTTCACAAATAGTAAGTTCACAATGATGGTTTTGTTTGATACCGTATCACTATTGTATCTCGGCATTCTTCTTAAGAATGTGTAGCAGTTAGTTCTACGTGTATCCCATTAGGGACTCAAACAAACGCTTTTATATATTGTAGGACGATTTAAATAAAATAAATTCTATAAGGACTGAAAGCAAAACACGTCTATTTTACGAGGTCCCAATAACATATTCTACCCTAATTTCAATAAAGTTCAAAAGGATGGAAAGTATATTAGTCTTTCGTATCAAATTAAATTGTATGTTTACTATTCACAGTGGCAAACTTGATTCATTTTCTTTCTTTATTTTTCATTAGTCATTTGATAAAATAAAATAGTCATATCACTACTAGCTTTGTAGATCTTTTGATGTACTCCCTTTGTCTCATTTTAAATCGTCTGTTTTAATTTTGGAGCTTATTTAAGGAAGAAAAAAATAGACTTGACTTTTCCAAAATTGCCATTACTTTTGAGAGGTGATGACGAATGAGAAGATAAAGTGGAGAAGAATGACTTATTTTAAGGGTAGTTTAGGTATTTTACTTTTAAAAGTTTACGATCACAAGAAACAGACAACTTATTTTAGGACAGAGAAAAAAACAGTCAATTTAAAATGGGACAAAGGGAGTAGTATTTTAAAATGAAATTTTTATTTTTAAATTCTACACCATTTTTCATATAAAATGATTTGAAAATAATCTCAAACAAACATCGTAAACCGAAACAGGCGATATAAATTAAGACACAAGATTTATTGTAGAGGGGGGAGGGAGTAATTGTTGGAAGTGCCACCCCATATATTTCTTTTATTTTATACCAGAAAAATCATACAATACTGTTTATACTATGTGTACAAAAGCTAGAAAATCAGCCAGCCCATTTACATCATTCAAGAAGAGAGTCTCTTCCCATTCTCTCCCTCTCTATATTACAATAATGTTACATGCATCCCCAAAAGAGTGCCAAACATGCATTTCTGAAGCATATAAATGTGTAGCTACATCAGGGGAATATACTGCGTATTTTTTTCCCGCCGTGTTTGTAATCTCAAAGCTGACTCGAGTAGAGCTTTCCGAGTGCATAGAGCGCAATACGTATCAACTCCTGTTGAACATTTTTGCCATACCAAGGTCATGTTTTCCTTAACTTATTTTTATTGGAATCAGATTAGATCAAATCAAAAATAGCTTAAAATATAACTACAATCAGATCAGATTTGACCAGATCATATCAGAACTTATTCCAATAAGATCAGAACCGTTCGGATCATGTGAAGAGAGCATGGCCTAAATATGATGAGCACACCAATCAAGGAAGCCAGCACACTCTTTCAAGCATGAACAAGAAAAAAGATTGTGATCTTTCATGCCAAATTGTTGTTCATGTGCAGGTTTAAGAGCTCACCAGTTCACAGATGAAATGAAGTTCTATGACTTGCAGAAGGGCTTCACAATTTATGTGTACGGAAGGGACTGCTCCATGGGTGCTTGCAGAAAGGCTTCAGCATAATGAATAAATGTTTCAGTTGAAGAAATATGGAGACGTTAGAACTTCTTTCATATCAAAGTCGCCTCGTTTTGGTAGAGGAGGGAAGGTTAATGCTGGATATGATGCCTCAAAGCTTTCAAGAAGCTGTAAGAGAATTTAAAAAAAAACAGAGTGAAAATTTGAGGGAATCGAACAAACAAACACTTCAGTGAGCTCTTCATTGAGTTTTAATAAACTACTGCTGCAATTCAGCAATTGAAAGATAAGGCTGCAATCCCTTATTCATTCATGTAGTGAGTAGTGACAGCCCTTCTCTGATGCATTCTAAAACTACGTCAGACCCTTTAGCAAATAAAAATAAAATGTACTTCCGTTGACAGAAGGCATTGATGACTTGATGTTAAATGTTATCCTACACTTCAATTCCCCATCTTTTATACCCTTCCTTTTCACGTTCTCTCATATTGTGCCTCTTCTTTCCCAATTCATCTTTCCCCATTTCATGTTTCCATACTGTAAGCTTCAGGTAATCAAAATGGTATATTAAAACATTCCTTGGTTCATCATTTCCATGA